GTTCACATTTAAACCAGTATCACCACTGTCATGAAGCCACTCTTCTAACACCCTGCCTGCTGCTGCCTGTCTTCATCGAGGCGCATTTGGAAAAATTAAAAGATTTAAAAGAAGAGTGCGGAAAGGTGTTGAGTATTGTCATAATTTTTTTTTTTTTTAAGCTATTTTTTTGGGCCTTTGTGCCTTTATTTGAAAGTGAAGTGAGAGAGAGACTGGAAAGCTGGGGAGAAGAATGGAGGGAGGACGTGTGGGAAAGAGACATTCGAACTCATGACCTCCACATCGGGACTGTAGCCCTATGCATGGGACGCCAGCTCAACCAGGTGAGCTATAGCGGCACCTGAGTATTGTCATGAATCTTAAGAAATTATGTGACTTATATTCATGTTTCAGGCTGCAAGGTAGATCGGTGGTTAGCACCGTCGCCTCGCAGCTAGAAGGTCGCCGGTTCGCGTCCCGGTGAAGACACCCGGGATCTTTGTGTGTGGAGTTCGCAGGTTCTCCTCGTGCAGCGTGGGTTCTCTCCAGGTTCTCCGGCCTCCTAACATGTTGAGGTTAATTGTAAATTGTCCGTAGGTGTGAATGTGAGTGTGCTTGGTTGTCTGTCTCTAAGTGTAGTCCTGTGATAGACTGGTTACCTGTCCAGGTGACCCTGCCTTCACCCTGAGTCAGCTGGGATAGACTCCAGCCCCCCATGACCCTACTGAGGATTAACCAGTGTATAGATGATGGATGGATGGATATTCATGTTTCTTTTTTGAGGCAACTTGAATGTAAATGATGCATAATTCTAAACATAACATGGAATAAATCACAACATGTGTGCATACGTGGAAATGCACAAATCTTTGTAAGGTGGGCTTTAACACACACACACAAGTGAATGGGGTGTGTTTCTATTGAAGAACAAGGGCATGAATTTATTTTAATACAGTAACAGAATATCATTTGCAAATCTGAAGAGCTTGGAGCCTTTTACTGCGGCGAACAGCTCTGTTTGGGGGTTTTTTCTTACACTTTCATCTACCACCAACTGTGATGTTATTTGATGTTGGCTGGAAACACAGAAGAGCTGAAAGACAGAGGGATGAGATCGTTTAGGGGGTTAATTGACGGACGGACTGATTTACATTTATGTGATCGATTTCACTGTATTGCTGTAAACTGCTCTGCCTGCACGATCAGTCATACAGAGTTAAGTCAGATTTCCTTCATTGCATTTAATGAAACAGGACTCCCTCAGGTCCTGTTAGAGTGCACTATGTACTAAAGGTGCTAAAAAAAACTGCTCAACGGACCAGAAGCAAAGCCTGCACTTCTGTAAAGCAACGTTATGAGTCACAAAGTTTTACACTATGCAAAGTATGTTTTCGGCTA